TACAAAGCCCAGTTCATTCAGCAACATGATAAAAAATGAAAATTCGTAGATATGGGCCTATCAATATCTGAGCGAGAATCGTGGGGGGTGAGCGTTTGAATCCCTATGAGCCACTCGGAGAGCTCCTCGCCAGCGTCGTCAGCGCCGGTAAGGAGTTCGGGCGCCTACGTGCTTTCTTCGTGGGCTTTATTTTTGAGGGATGCTTTCTTCGTGGGCTGAATTGTACAAAGCCCAGTTCATTCAGCAACATGATAAAAAATGAAACGGGAACAAAATACAGATTAATATCTGACAGAAATGGGATTCGAAACGGCACGCAAACGTCTACGGGCTTAGCGCATTAACCACTGCACCACAGTCAATTTGATATGTTATAACGGAAATCGGCGTTGTTTCAGGGTTGTTTCAGTCTCAGTTAGTTTTTTCGGAAAAAAAAACTTAAATCTGAAACAGAAATCACGAAAATTAAAAATGTTCATCGATTCTGAAAAAACGAATTCCCGAATTTCCCCAAAAAAAGTACACAAAATAAAAAAAAAGTTCACCGTATTTCGAATAAAAGGTTCACAAATTTGAAAAACATTCACTGGATTTGAAGAAAGTTCACCAGATTCTGAAAAAGTTCATCAATTTTGAAAAACGTTCACTGGATTTTTTAAGAGAAGTTCACATATCTGAAAAAAGTTCATCAGTTTTGACAAAGAAATTCACGAATTTGAAGAAAATTCACCGGATTCTGAAAAAAGTTCACTGATTTGGAAAAAGTTCCTCGATTTTGATTAAAAAATCACGAATTTGTAAAAAGTTCATCGTTTTTGAAAAAAGGTTCACAGATTTTCAAAAAAGTTCACAAGTACGAAAAACTTTCATCAATTTTGAAAAACGAAACACGTATTCTAAGAAGTTCACCGGTTTAGAAAAAAGTTCATCGATTTTGTGAAAAATGTTCAAGCATCTTTTAGAAAAAGAACAAGAAAAAAATAAAAGAAAGGAACAAAAAAAGAAAAGGGAAGTGACGAATCACTAGATCTGCGATGTCTAGTTGGTTACGTTAGCTAACCACGAACGAGGAGGTAGCGGTTCGAATCTCACCAGCGCTGAGTTTTTTGCCTGTTAAAACATGATGCAAAGCATAAATGGGCCGGCGCAGGCGTGGAAGGGGAGGTGTGCGCCCGTTTGTGGAAAACGAAGTAAGGGGCGCTGAAGGCGCCGAATAGGGTTTGGTGGGAGGTCCTATTGGGCGCTGCAGGCGCCGGGGAACGCAACCGGCGCTCACAGCGGCGTCTAGGTGGGCAGGCCCAAAAACAAGAGCAGCGCGAGAAAATACGTGCAAAAAATAGCTGGCATCTGGACTCGAACACGCGCCGTCATGCTTAAGTATAGGTTGTCTTACCACCGAACCAACAAACAGTTCATGCCTCTGTACAGCGCAATACGTCTTAAGAACAAAAATAGCAGACGCGCCATTTATTGTGCATTAATAGTACAGTTTAGATTTTTAAAATATTTAAAAACATGTTCACATATTTCAAATGAGGTTCACGAACATGCGAAAAATGTTCACGTATTCACAAAAAAGTTCATGAATTTGAAAATTAGTTCATCCAATTTGAAAAAAGTTCATCGATTTCAAAAAAAGTTCATTGAATTCGTAAAAAGTTCATCGATTTTGGGAAAAGTTCATCCAATTCGAAAAAAGTTCATCGATTTTGGAAAAAAGTTCATCCAATTTGGAAAAAAGTTATCGTATTTGAAAAAAGTTCATCGAATTCGAAAAAAGTTCATCCAATTCGAAAAAGGTTCTTCGAATTTGAAAAAAATTCATCAAACTCGAAAAAAGTTCGTCGGTATTGAAAAACGTTCATCGATTCGAAAAAAATTCATTCAAATGAGCAAACAAAAAAAGAAAAGGAAATAAAAAAGCGAGCAAAACCATTCTGAACCAAAAAAGAAAAACGAAAAAAAGAGATAAGAAGGAAAAAAGTGTAAAAGAGCGTAGATGTGAGGTAGGTGGGGTGGCTAGCGCAGGTTGCAAACGATGAGGAGATCCTAGGTTCGAAATCTGCCCGATGTGTTGCTTTTTTTTCTTTGTACAGAAAGAAGAAGAAATGGCAACATGGGCCTAGTCCAATTAGATGCGCCTGCAGGCGCCAGTTGGGGAACCGGCGCATAAGCGCCAAATAGGATTTCCCGGGTTTGGCAGCCACTCGCTGTGGCAGGTTGCCGAGCAAATGCGCATAGGCACTCACCTTGGCCGGCCCACAAGGAGCGTTCGCCTGTACGCGACTCGGGGCATGTACTATAGCGATTCCCCCTCAAAAAAAAGTACTATAGCGATTGATTTACCTGTAGCGACCGGTTTTCCCTCTAGCAACAGCGCCCGGTTTCTTGTATTGATTGGTTTTTGATCAGTTTCTCTATAGTAAAATTGTAGCGAATATTTTCTGGAAACCCCAAACAATTTTGTAAAATCACAAAAAATATTAAAGTGTGTCATTTTTTGAAATTCCGAATAATTTCTGGAAAAAACAGACAATTTTTTAAAATTCTTGAACATTTTTTGAAACATGAACATCAGTTGAATTTGCGAACAAGTTTTGAAAAATGAGAACATTTTTTGAGAAAATTGCGAACAGTTTTTGAAAACGCGGCCATTTTGTGAATCTGAAATCTTCTAGAAGGTTCCAAAAATTGGTTGTTGTAGTACGTTGTGTATATGACACTGAGCCATCCCAAAACCTGTACTGTACGTTGTCGCTGGCCTTGTGAGAAACAGCGACAACGAGCCGTAGAATGTCGCGAATAGGGATCGGTCACGTCCGCGGCGTCGATCCGCTCAGGTCGCTGCATGCATGGTGGGCCGCCCCATTATAGAGTAGCTTAGTGTGGATTTGTGCGGGCTTCCATTTTATTTTATTTTCCCACTACATAAATAAACCCAAAAAAATCCAAAAGGTTTGTGAATTTAAAAAAATCGTGAGGGCAAATAAAGCCGCACAACTTTGCGGAGAAAAAGTTCTTTGATGATGGATTAATGCCGGGAGGTGTCAATGATACAACAATAGTACTCATCCCAAAAGGAAACAACCCCCTAAGTATCAAGGATTACCGCCCCATAAGCCTATGCAGTGTCATCTATAAGGTGGTCTCGAAGGTACTAGTCAACTGCTTACGCCCTCTGCTTGATGTCCCCGGGAGATTGATCACTGACAATGCGATTTATCGCTTTTGAGTGTTTTCATAAAATACAACATAGCAAGAATAGGTGAGGTACCCAGTGTGCCTATAAGTTGGATTTGGCTAAAGCCTATGATAGGGTCGACTGGGACTTCTTGGAAGGAATACTACGGCAGTTGGGTTTTGACCAAGAGTGGATAAACTGGGTGATGATATGCGTCAGATCAGTCACCTTTTCAGTCAGATGTAATGACGTGTTGCTGGACGCTTTTGAGCCCACGAGGGGTCCGAGAGAGGGGGGTCCACTGAGCCCTTACCTATTCTTATTTGTGGCTGAAGGTTTGTCCACTCTACTAGAAAACTATGAAAGT